CAAATTTAATAAAGGAAAAAATTTTTTTTTTAAAAACCCCCCTTTTTTTTTCCCAATAAAAAATAAACTTTAAAATTTTTTAAAAAAAAACTTTTTTAACTCCCAACCTTGGCGAATTGTTGTATACTGTCACTTATAAACTGTTGATCTCTGGCCATCCCACGCTAAGACTGGCCTCTCTTCTCATGTAAGTATTATATACACCCATAAACAACCAACTCTTGTATTTTTCCTACGTCTCCTGCCCTGTATGTCACCTCACCAGTAGCTGAAGAGCATGTAAAAAACTGTAAATTTGCATCTATGAATCCAGAAGAAGATTACAATCATGGCTGACAGTTAGTAATCTGAGAACAATATACGAAAAAAGCTTAACTAACTTCATTGATTAAAATCTGGGGAGCATTGAACCAGTCAGTCCATCTATCATCATTCTATCATGCAGAGGAGCCACATGCTATGGTGCATCAACAAATAACAGACTCTTGAATTCTACTACTGCCGCACGCTGGGTTACCTACCTGTATGTTGACCAAACTAAGTGTAACTACCAGATGACAACTGTTCACAACTGATCTTAAGTACTGAATGACATAAATTAATGAATTCAGAACAACTCACTCAGAAATCTAAAGTATTCCTATAATAATGGTTATACACATGATCATAATTTTAAAGGGCGGATCGTAGCCAGCGGATTTGTGATTTAACCTGCAGATACTGTAACCAGCCTGGAGCCGCAGTATGACATAACAAAATCGCTTATTTAGTTGGATGTACCATAACATGTGCTCCTCTACTCATGATGAATAATGATAGATGGCTGTTCAGTCTCCCGTCTTAAGTCAATATTGTTCAATTTTTTTTTTTGAATCACAGGGTACACCACTACCCAGACGTCAAGACAAAAAAAAAAAAAAAAAAATCCCATGGTGCTCTACAAGACACTTTACTCACTCAATAACACGTGTTACACTCCCTTTCCCAACTCTCCTGGATCCTATGTCAATATAAACTTCTCATTCTCAAATTACACAACTTTATGTTGCCACAACAATATCCCCTTCACTATCTACTATACACATGTGTTAACTCAGAAACCAAAATTATACTTTTTGGGGTATTTAACTGCTAACATTTTTAAATTTCATAGGGTACCATACCACACTGCCTCTTCTCACTCTCTCACATAATACTGGTGTTACACTGCCTCTTCTCACTCTCTCACATAATACTGGTGTTACACTGCCTCTTCTCACTCTCTCACATAATACTGGTGTTACATTGCCTATTCTCACTCTCTCACATAACACTGGTGTTACACTGCCTCTTCTCACTCTCTCACATAACACTGGTGTTACACTGCCTCTTCTCACTCTCTCACATAACACTGGTGTTACACTGCCTCTTCTCACTCTCTCACATAACACTGGTGTTACACTGCCTCTTCTCACTCTCTCACATAATACTGGTTTACACTGCCTTCTCACTCTCTCATATAACACTGGTGTTACACTGCCTCTTCTCACTCTCTCACATAACA